TCACACTGATCTTTCAGAGGAACTTGACTTAGTAATTTATTTGTTCTTGCAGCCCTCTCCCCCCAAAAAACTTCAGTTAGCCTAGTACAGTAATAGAGGAACCATAACAATGGATGACAGGGAGTGGTTACCTTCCTTCTTATATAGAAAGGGTGCTTTGGAAATGTTCCTGGATGGGCAGAATTGTTCTTTTGATATGCTTTGTTGTATCTCAGGGCACAGTTTATTGCTGCTGCTAGTTTTTACAGGAACATGCCTCCTATTGAAATAAGAAAGGGGAGAGGAGAGAGTCTCCCCAAACAGGCTGCTTTCTTCCTTGCTTACCAACTACAGTATGTGTGCCTTTGCATCTGACCATGCTGTGGCTTCTCAGTGCTGGAAATGAATTTTCAATTAGCTTCTTCCCCTCACTTCAGAGTTAGGTTCATTAAGAATAATGTTCCCAGCACTGCGAATACTATGTGACACTTGCTGAGCACTTACTACTTGCCAACCACTGTCTCAAAAAGGCAGCTAGTAAAAACTGTTTTGGCAGTTGCATTGGCCTGTGGTTGGGTAAACTTCAGCAAGGGAGCATTTTTCCCGCTATGTGATCCAGGACTATTTTCTAAGCTATGGGTAAATAGGTGAGTGGGACTCCCTGCATTCTGCCACTTGAGCCACATCTCCAGTCCATTTTGCTCTGGCTATTTTGTAGGTGGAGTCTTGCAAACTGTTCACGCAGGTTGACCTTGAACCAGAATATCCTCCCAATCTCAGTCTCCCAAGTAGCTATAGGATTACAGGCATGAATCTCTTTGCCTACCAGATTTCAATAGGTATAGTTTTACCTTGTAAAGAGAAACTCCAGACTGTAGCACCACTGGGCTCTGGTATGGTCATAACCAAAATCGTCTCCCCATGCCCAGTTTGGTGTGTGACTATAATCTCAGCACATGGGAGGCTAAGGCAGGAGGATTATGAGTTCAAGGCCACTCTGGGTTACATAGACCCAAAACAAACCTATCAAAATCATCTCTCTAGTCCTGCACTTAGAACTGTTGGGGGTCATGTTTGGCTGTGGCCAAGGAATGTTTCCTAGATACACAGGCCTGGCTCTGGTTCCCTAAAGTGTCTTAAATTGGAGATAGCCATCAGTCTCTGAGTTTGGGCTATTAACTTGTTTTAGCTCATAGCCATGAATTTCACAGATGGGTTTTTTGAGTTCTTTTTGTTTGTTTGTTTTTTTAGATGGGCCTGGGGTTTGAACTCTGGGCTTCATGCTGGAAAGCAGGTACTCTACCACTTGAGCCACACCTCCATTCCTGGGGTTTGTGCAGTGTAAGAAATGTGCAACTTTAGCCAGGTGCCAGTGGTTCATGCCTATAATCCTAGCTACTCAGGAGGCAGAGATCAGGGGACCATGGTTTGTAGCCTGCCCAGGCAAATAGTTCTTGAGACCCTATCTCAAAAAAACCTATCACATGGAATTACATACAACAGTAAAATTAAACTTGTCAGAACTACACATAATAAAATGGACACAAAAAATCACAATGATTTAGAAATAGCAACTGAAATAGGATATGTATTTTATGATTCCATTTACATGAAGTTTGCAAAGGGAAAACTAAGGGACTTATTACTGGAAGTAAACATGAGTGAGCTTTTGGAGGGCCAGTATGCAATTTCATTGTCTGATAACTAGTTCCATTCATTAAGAATTCATTAAGGTGTATACAGGATTTATGTGATTTCCAGTAAATATCCTGGTATTTAAAATAAAAGTCTGTATTTAAAAATGAAAACAACAACAAACAACAAAAAAACATATCACAAAAAAGGGCTGGTGAAGGCCCTGAGTTCAAACCCATGTACTGAAGAAAAAGAGAAAAAGTGGTGTGACTAAATTGTGTCTTTGTCTTTCATCAGTTGGGTGAAAAAAGAAGGCAATCATCAATACTTACTTATTTATTGTCAGTATTTTGTATGGCTTTTATTTTTGTCTGTACTTACTCACGATGGCTTTTGACTATAGTGGGACAGTGCCATCTTGTTGATAGGAATAGAGTTAACAGGATTATAGATTGTCCATTTTCCCTTAACAAAGTACTTAAAGTAACTTTTTGTCTTTTTGGTGGACTGGGATTTGAACTCAGCTTGCAAAGCAGGCACTCTACCAATTGAACCACGCCTCCTTTCCATTTAGCTATGGTTATTTTTTGGAGATGGGGTCTCAAAAAATATTTGCTGCTGAGTGAATACTCAAAAAGTATTTGCTGAGTGGCTTCTAGCTACTCAGGAGGCAGAGATCTGAAGAATCGAGGTTTGAAACCAGCCCAGGCAGATAGTTCATGAGACCCTATCTGGAAAAAATCCCTTCACAAAATAAGGCTGTTGGAGTGGCTTGAGGTGTAGACCTTGAGTTCAAGCCCAGTACCACCAAAAAAAAGTATTTGCCTGAAAACTGTTGGCTTGAGCTGGCCTCCGACCAAGATCCTCCTGATTTCAGCCTTCTAAGTAGCTAGGATTATAGGAGTGAGCCACCAGCATCCTGCAGTGAGTTAAAGTTTAACTCATCCTGCAATGAGTTAAAGTTTCGAAGTACTTGTTTCAGAGTAATGCAGAGTCAGTAAACATGAAAAACATCCAATGATAAAAGATTTTTTTTTTTTTTGGTGGCATTGGGGTTTGAACTCAGGGCCTCACACTTGCTAGGCAGGTGCTCTTACTGCCTGAGCCATTGTGCCAACCCTATAAAAGATGTTTTAAGAGGGTATTTTTCCTTATTGGCAGGTTTTTGTATGTGTATGTGTGTTATTGGGGTTTCTTGTGTAGGTAGGCAAGTGTTATATCACTGAGCTACACCCCCAGCCTGATGGTTTTTAAAATACTGTTTATGCATATGGACGAAATAAGAACTTGTCACTGACTAGTGGAAGTATAAAGTTACATAGGTTTATGGGGGGCAGATTGCAGAATAACCCTTAATGCTCTTATGCCTTGATCCAGAATTGCATTTCAAGGAGTTTATCATAAGGAAAAATTTTTTAATTCATTAATAGATTAGAACAAAAATACTTGTAACATTGTCATTTGTACTAATGAAAATTGAGAAATACTTTTATAGTCATTAAAGTTAGGTTCTTAGAACTGAGGATGTAGCTCACATGCTTAGCATACCCAAGACCTTGGGTTCAATTATGACCAAAAAAGGCATTTTTTTTTTAGTATAACAGGAAAAAAAGAAGACAAAACTATAATAAGCCAGTTATAAAAAATCTAAGTATGTATCTATTATATACATACATGTATACTGGGGGTTGAACTCAGGGTCTCCCACTTGCCAGGCAAGCATTTTGCCACTTGAGCCACACACCTAGTACTTTTGCTTTTAGTTTTTCTCAGATGGGAATTTGCCTTTGCCCAGGCTGGCCTTGAACTGAGATCCTCTTAAGCCTGGCCTCTTGAGTATCTGGGATTATAGGCATATGTCACCGTGCCTGACTAGAAATAGATTTTTTTTCTTTTTGCAGTACTGGGGTTTTAACTCAGGGCCTACAACTTGAGCCACTCCACCAGTCCTTTTTTTGTGATATGTTTTTTTCAACATAGAGTCTCACAAACTGTTTGCCCAGGCTGGCTTTGAACCATAATCCTGGTGAGTCACCAGTACCTGGCTAGAAATAGATTTTTAAGCGGTTAGTTTAGTTTCTCTATTTGAGTTCCTTGGTTCTTTGTAAACTTTTTACGTTGTCCAAGGTATAAACAAAAAAGATAGTCTTATAAATGATTTTCTTGGGAATTTTACATTCTAGATTTGAAGAGTATTGAGCTCAGTGTAGATACCAAGTTCTTCCTGAACAGCTGCTGGGGCCTATTACAAAAGAGAGCTTGAATGGGCTCCAGTGGCTCACACCTGTAATCCTAGCTACTCAGGAGGCAGAGATCAGGAGGATCACAATTCAAAGCCAGCCAGGGGAAATAGTCTGAAAGACCCTATCTCAAAGAAACCCATCACAAAAAAGATAAAAGGGCTGGTGGAGTGGTTCAAGGTGTAAGCCCTGAGTTCAAGCCCCAATACCACAAGAAAAAAAAAAGCTTGGTCTGGTTGAATGGTTCAAGTTGGTAGAGGACCTGCCTAGTAAGTATGAGGCCCTGAGTTCAAACCCCAGTACCACCAAGAAAAAAAAAGGAAGCTTACTATATTTCCAGAGGTTAAAAAGATGGCAACCTTCTAAGGTATTAGGTTTTTTACCAGCAGAACATACTGGGAAAGAAGGGGGAAAAAAACCCAAAAACATTGGGAAGGGGTTGAGCAGACCAAAGTAAAGTATACCCACAGTGGGCATACACTGAGAAATCCCTTTGAACATCAACAGGACTGTAAGATAGGTACAGTGTGTGTGTACTAGTGGGAGGGGAGAGTGAATGAAAGAGATTAAGGTGATGGTATGTGGTTGATGGATTTCATGTACATGTATGAAATAGAACTAAGAAACCTTTTGCAGTTGATTTAAGTGGAGCGGGGAGGGGTTTGGGGGGAAAGACAATGGGGTGTTATAATGTACAGTGTAAGTCTAATTTGAATTGTCGCTATGAACCACCCCCCATATAACAAATATATACTAATTAAAAAACATATATATATATATATATATAATAAATAAATAAATAAAAATAACATTGAGAGAATGAACAAACAACCTCCATGTTGCACTTTATATGATCTAGTATGAAAGCAAGCCCAAGGAGCCTGGTCTGTCATGGCCTCTTTTCCTCCTGCTACCCCAGTTCTTACCGAATTGTGGTGATGGGCATCTTCCTTCCTAGCAGATGCTCATCTTCACAGTGTAATCCCCTTTTGCTGTGAGGAAAAGGAGTTGTCTTTTTCAAGACAGTGTTTTGGGTTTTTTTTGCTGATTAAATATTGACTAAATGTGTGTGGGAAATGCTTAAAATCTGCATTTCATTTCCAGTGTGGTACATCTTTAAATAACACTTTGCTCTGTTTTTTCCAGTGGTGAGCCCCTCCAGACTCCGAATAGGAGATCAAGAATTTGATTCATTGCCTGCTTTACTGGAATTCTACAAAATACACTATTTGGACACTACAACATTGATAGAGCCAGTTTCCAGATCTAGGCAGGGTAGTGGAGTGATTCTCAGGCAGGAGGAGGCAGAGTATGTACGAGCCCTCTTTGACTTTAATGGGAATGATGAAGAAGATCTTCCCTTTAAGAAAGGAGACATCCTGAGAATCCGGGATAAGCCTGAAGAGCAGTGGTGGAATGCGGAGGACAGCGAAGGAAAGAGGGGGATGATTCCAGTCCCTTACGTGGAGAAGTATAGACCTGCCTCCGCCTCAGTATCGGCTCTGATTGGAGGTAACCAGGAGGGTTCCCACCCACAGCCACTGGGTGGGCCGGAGCCCGGGCCCTATGCCCAACCCAGCGTCAACACTCCGCTCCCTAACCTACAGAATGGGCCCATTTATGCCAGGGTTATCCAGAAGCGAGTCCCTAATGCCTACGACAAGACAGCCTTGGCTTTGGAGGTACATAATGTGCAAAATGTAGAAAGAAGAGATCTGCTACAGGGTCTCCCTTTCAGACCTCTTAGAGCTTTGTAGGAGTGCTGAATACAAGCACCAGCATTGTGATGTTGTAGATGTCAAACCATTAAGTACTGATTTTGGATTTAATGTTGGGTTTTCTCTTTTTTATAGAAAACCTATTTTACAATGAGTAAATTTAAAACTGTATTACTGAATGTTCCAATTGATTTACTAAACTAAACATACTTTGTCTACTTTAATAACACCACTTGAATTCATAAGAATTAACCGAAAATAACTTTTCTCATCTGTATCTTAATTTCTTTCTTACTTTTTGTTTGTCATTGTCTAAAAGAAAGTAGTTTCACACAGATTAGAATGTGCTAAGTGGTATGTAGCAAATCACAAGTGGAATTTTCCCACAAAAACAAAATGTTTTTACTTTAGTGATATGAGATTCCTTACTGTTAAGCTTGTCAAGAATCAGGAGGAGAGGTTGGGGTGTCATTCAGTGGTAGAGTACTTACTAATATGCACAAGGCCCTGGGTTTGATCCCCAGCGCCACTCAAAATAAAAAGAATCAAGGAGATAGTAAAGTGTAGTCCAGGTGTGAAGAGAACCATATGGAAAAGTGTTAATTATAAGAACCAGTAGATTTATTTGGTCTTTGTTGTTTAGTGCATTTAATAGGCAAGAAATCAGTTCTTCTAAGGGATTAGTTGCCTTTGGCTGGTGAATAGTTACCCTTGGTAGCCCATCTCTTTCTGACCAATCATTACATTGTGTTTATTCCTTTATTCCTCTGTTTAGCACTCACAGCTTTGCCTCTTACCTTCTTCCTCCTTTCCACCCTTCCTTCTGAGTTATGTAGAGCTAGTAGTTCAGCATAAAAGCCAGTACAGAAGTAGCCTGCTATCCCATCTTTCACAGCCCCACAATACAGTGACTTGAATGTAAACAGTGTAAACAGGTAGCTAACTTTCATAAGCACAGGCTGAAATATGTGAACACAGATTACCAGAGAAAGGGTAAAAGCATGTTCTTGGTTTTTTTCAGTGTGGGAGTGGGTTGAAATAGGGAGTCTTTCTGGGGAGTCCAGGAGTCACTTGGTGCTGGTGTTATAAGTGTAATGCCACCCCACCTAGCAAAAGTGGTGTGTTTTTTTTTTTGTTTGTTTGGGTTTTTTTTTTTTTTGGTCTCATTTGCATTTTTATTTTTTGGCGGTACTGGGGTTTGAACTCAGGGCTTCACACTTGCTAGGTAGGCACTCTACCACTTGAGCCACTCCACCAGTCCAAAAGTGGTTTTGTTTTAGCCACACTGAGGTCTTGAATTTTTGTTCAGACTGGCCTTGAACCGTAATCCTCCTACCTATTCTGAGTAGCTGATGTTGTAGATGTGTACTACTGCACCCAGCTTACTGATTCAAATGGGTTCTTGCCTTTTGCCCAGTGTGGCCTGGAACCTGGATCCTCTTGATTTCTGTCTCCCAAGTAGCTGGGATTATACATATGATCTACCATGTTTGCTTTTTTTTGGTTTTTAAAGGTTCAAACACAATACTTATTCATGCTAGGCATGCACTCTATCACTATGTCCCTAGCCCTTACCAAGTGTATTGTTGTAAACTGAAATCTTAAGTTATGTTTTCTTTGGGTCATGTTTATTCAGTGAGGAGTAGGAGCTTCCCTCTGTCTAAGTTAAAGTGAATGAACTAGATTTATTTGAATCCATTTCTGATACTACTGGATTTCAAATTTTTCTTTCAGTTTCTGATCTAGTGGGTGCAGAAGAGGGTTAGTTGAGTTTTCTGGGATTAACTGAAAGTTTGTTTTTTGAGATCATGTTACTTAAAAGCGTCATGTCTCAGCTTTGATGAGAACTAAAATGTATGTTGTCTAGTTCATACTGGAAACATACAGAAAATAAGTTTCCAGATTGATGTTTTACGTTCAGGGGATGATGATGATGGCTATGACTCTTGACATCGATTGCAGACTTTGTTAGCAATGGGCTGGAGTAAAAATAGCATTCATGGAACAAGCAAACACGCAGGAGAGGAGTTTATCACATCAGTTTTACTTCCATTTGTATTTTTTTTCTCAAAGAGTTGTTTTGTTTTGGTTTTGGTTTTGGTTTTTTTTGGTGGGGGGACGGGTTGTGCTGGGGATCCAACCCCAAAGAGAATTATTTTTAATGATGTCTGCCTTAATTAGAGGCTTTAATGCCAAAAATGGTTTGGCTGCTTTCTCTGTGGTAAAATGCAAATCTTGTGGAATAAAGATTTTAGTGGAAAACTAGTTTATGATTTCAGTAAGTTTTCTTTTTTGGGTGTAGATACTGGCTTTAAATCACATGAGTTTTTGCTGATGAGGGCTTCTTTCAAGTTAGAACAAATACCCTAAGAAAGAGCTTTAAAACACCTTTTCTAATATACTTGAAAAAAATAGTGTTAGTTTAGCATTAGAAATCTAGAGCTGGAAAGGTCCTTAAATATCTTCATTTGATACATGGAAAAAACTGGTGTTACAATTGGTTGAGCCAGATGTGGTAACAGGCCTGTAATCTCAGCACTTGAGAGGCTGAGATAGGAGGATTTTGAGTTTGAGGCCAGTTATTCTGGGCTACATAATGAGATCCTGTCTTAAAAAAAAGTTAGATTGAATGGGTCATTCAAGCTAGTGGAGGTAGAAATGTGATAAACCTAGAGATGTACCTTGGTACCTTTCTACCATGTCCAGATTTAATCTATGGTTCTTTCTCTTTATAAAAGGGCTGCTGCCCTCCTTGATGCAGGTTTTGGGTGGTTTCATTGATAGTATATCCTCAGTTGTACTGTCTGGGTAAAGTGGCAGTTCTTTTCCATCTCAGGTTTTTCATAGGCATAGATGGATACCTACTCATTGTAGTGAGACAGATGAGATTAGCGTACTGTGGCTTTCTGATTTTAGCATTCTTATAAGAAAAACGTGGATTGGCATTATTCATGGATGAGACAGAAGGATCCCAAGTTCCAGACCAGTTTGGGCTACATAACAAGACCCTGTCTCCAAAAGAAAAACAAAGGGCTGGGGATTGGTTCAAGTTACAGAGAGCCTGCCTATCACTCACAAGACTCAGTTTAAACCCTAATACCACCAAAATAAAAATTGGGCTGAACGTGGTGACTCAAGCCTGTATCCCAGCTACTGGAGAGGGATTGGAAGATCAAGATTTGAGACCAGGGCAGAAAGTTCGTAAGAAAACCTCCCTCCCCATCTCAATTCATAGGCTCTTGGTGGTGTGTGTGGTATCAATTACCTGTCATCCCAGTCACATGGGAGGCGTAAATAGGAGGATCAACACCTCAGGCAAAAACACCAGACCCTAATTTGAAAAACAATTAAAGAAAAAGGGGTTGGGGTGTGGCTCAAGTGATAGACCACCTGAATTCAATCTTCTGTACTACAAAAAATCTAGATTTGTAAACTGGATAGGTATATATTAGTGGAATTTTATGCTGTCTTATTTGCAGTGTTAGAGATTGGACCCAGGGTCTTGCTACGCTAGTAACCTACATCCCCAGCCCACCCAATGCTTGAACGTTTTTTGGTTTTTGGGTTTTTTTGCACAGGGTCCCACTGTGTAACCCAGTCTACCTAGTAACTTGCAATCATCCTGCCTCAGCCTTTCAAGTGCTGGCATTACAAAGGCATGTACCATTTATTGCTTAACTTTAGATTAATAGGTTTGTATCATTTAATTTTAGAATTGGTCAGAACATGGAGGCCACATTTTTTAGACTGCTTTTCAGTGCCATTGTATTTCCCAGGAGGTGCCTAGGAAGGGAGGGATAGTAAGAATTTAATGTTCCAGATTTCCCTATTTTGCTTTAACCAAAGCAGCTGTTTGGCGTGTTTTGTTTTTGTTTTTGGCTATATTGGGGTTTGAACTCAGGCCTCACGCTTACTAGGCAGGTGTTCTACCACTTGACCCACTCTGCCATCCTGGTGGGTTTTTTTTTTTTTTTTGAGGTCCTGGGGCTTAAACTCATGGCCTCCACCAGCCCTATTTTTGTGAAGGGTTTTTCGAGATAAGATCTATCGGAACTGTTTGCTAAGACTGGCTTAGAACTGTGATCCTCCTGATCTCTGCTTCCTGAGTAGCTAGGATTACAAGTGTGAGCCACCGGGCCAGCTTGGCTTTTTTTTTTTTTTTTCTTAAGGACAGTCTCTATATATAGCCCAGGCTGGCCTTGAACTCAAGATTTCTTGCCTAAGCCTCTTAGTGCTAAGATTATAGACATGTACCACCACTCCTGGTAACTGTTCCTGTTTATTTTCCTGGTACTGGGGATTGAATTTAGGGCCTCATGCTTGCTAGACAAAACAAAAGATCTACTTGAGCCAGGTCTCCAGCCTAAAACTAACGGATTTTGTTTCCCCCCTTGGTGCTGGAATTTTATCTAGGCAAGTGCTTTACCAATTGAGTTATATTCCCAGCCTAAACATAAATAGCTGGGTTTTTTTGTTTGTTTGTTTTGTGGTACTGGGGTTTGAACTCAGGGCCTCCTGTTTGCTCTCTACACCTTGAGCCACTCACTCCATCAGCCCTTTTTTGTGATGGTTTTTTCAAGGTAGGGTGTCTTGAACTATTTTGCCCAGCCTTGCTTCAAACTGAGATCCTCCTGATCTCTACCTCCTGAGTAACTAGGATTACAGGCGTGAGCCACTAGTACCTGGCTTGGTTTTTGTTTTTTTGAGACAGGGTCTCTCTACATATTCCATGTCAGCCTGGAACTCATGCTCCTCCTGCCTCTAGGTTCAGGAGTGCTGGATTACAGGTGCGTGCTACTACTCCCTGTGTAACTAATATTATCTTGTAAATGTAGGTGTTAAAATTTATTTTATGCCTCTGTAGACCGTCCAGAACAATGATACTTTAAGTGTTCTCATTGTGTGACCTTCCTCTGATTCAGCCTGGCATTTTGCCAACAATAGATAAGACTTGAGAGTACTTG